AGCTACTTTCATTGTTTACCACAGCTTAAGAATGAGACACACCTCTCAGAAATATCCTTCAGTAATTTATGCAAATAAAGAGCAAGAATGAGAAGGTGTATGGGGGTGTGTTTGATGTGTCCCTGCAGCCAAAGTAAAGAATTGCAAGCACAGCAAACATGTTACTCAAAATCCTTTAACATGACAAAGACATTGCAAGAAATCAAAAACAGAATCTGATAGATTAATATATTAAATGAGTTACTCTGCTGGTAGAAACAATGGCATTTTTAAATGTTCATGAAATGCTTTCCCTGTGTGTGAAATTGCATGCTGTTCTGCAGCCAAACCCCAGCAGTTTTTCATGAATACTTCCAAAAGTTTTAAGCATTATGCATTTCCCTAATTGCACATGACACCTGGCTGTATTCAAACCTGCATCAGTACACATGATCTGCGCGCTGTGCAATGGCTCTGAAAAATTGAACAAAAAACACTTTCCCTTAAATGCCTTTATAATTTGTTAATTTAAAAATGCACTGTGAAAAGAACCAAAGTATCTGTATTCATATGGCCTAAAGAATTAAATACCTGCATGTCAGTAAAGGTTCAAATTCATTATTTATAGAACATGCATGTTTTGTTGGGGATTCAAACCAGATTTATGTGTACATTGAACAATGGGTTCTGTCAAAACTTTGACAAGGACCGCTCATGTTGAACACACTCCTTGTTCTCTCTCTCAAACACAAACACACAGTACATTCTATAGAGAACACGGGGAGCATAACGGAGCTGACATTGACGTGTCTGTTTACACTGTCAAGTGCTTACAATGTGCACACTATTATGTAACAACATACAAGATATATAAACATACTCAAAAGCAGGCTATAAGTGGGCTTTCCCCCAGTTTATTTTATTTTACACTGCCCTCCTACCCTAGATCCAGTTTGTTCTCGTCCGCGTATTGTGCTTCACAGGTTCACATTTTTAAATGAAAGTGATAGATTAAGAAAGAGGTAAACTGGTTGGGACTGCAAAAGCAAGTTCCCACATGGACACTGTTAAAATTACAAATGACTTGCTTCTTGCGTCAGACCAAGGCTGTGTCTCATTGCTAGTTTTAAACTTGACTTGACTTGACTTACAGTGAAGTCGCAGTAAATAATTGTCAAGTGTGTGTACATGCACTTTAATAGGTTTTAGTTAGACTAAAGCAACAATTCTCCTTTTTAAAATTACATTTAAATGCTTTTGTATATTCTCAGAAAGACACAGATGATGTGCAACGGGTATTTAGTACTTTAAATTTTATAGATTTTTTTGTCATGTACTCAGAAAGAGAAAGGAACATGGTTGCTCAACTATGCAAAAACCTGCTGCGATTATAATTGCACACGCAAACACACTTATTTACAAATTGTGGAAACTCTACTTTAAAAGTGCTGTGAAGGTATGGAAAATAGAACTATTATATTTATTAAAGGTGGAGAGGGAGGGATGCCACAAGAAAGATCAAAGGAATGAGGAAAGATGCTGTCAGCAGCTTTTTCAGCATTTTGACTGGCTGAGATGAAGTGAATGTGCTGCTACTACACAACAGAAATCTGTACACACACTCAGTTTGTGCATGTTGGTGCAAGCTGCAAATTACATTAGGCTACATTAGGTTACACCATCATTTTATGAAGTAACTGATTATAGATAACAAGATTAATAGATTAAAGATAACAACACACTTTTGATTTTAACACTGAGAGTCTGGCTTTATGCAACATGTCTTGACATTACTGTAAATCTTTGCAAGTTTTTGGCCTTAAATTGTTTATGCATATTGCAAATGTCTTTCCTATATGTTAAACTTAACAGCAACACTGTAACTACTATGTATGTGTTTTGCAAGCCAGGCTCATTATAAATACGGGCCTGTGGTGACATTTCTGCAAAAGGATATTATGTTGCTTTTTGCACATTTCGCAAAAAAACTGAAATGTCTAGTGGATGGCTCTAAAAGTGCGTTCAATATTACCTGAAACAGATGAATGAAAATCCGGCTACGTTTTATTACATTAGTTGGAAATGAATGCCCGGTGATTGTTGCTAAATGGTTCATTTGGCTCAAACGTTTATCATAACGTTATCATTAACGTCTAAGAATAACATCTTCAACCTATTCTAAACCTTTACAGATAGTGTTACCAAAAGAGATAAAGAGATTACATTTTAGCCTGCTTCTGCAAGTCGTTGAGCTCTTTTATCATGACTAATTTTTCACAGGTATCATCATACCCTACCCAAGATCTCCACATTGCGAGTGCAGAGCAATAGGTGAACTACCAAGTATGTTTACCACATCAGAAAAACCATACATATGGAGCTTATGTGATGCAAACGTCATAACATTAACAATGCTGTGCAAGGAAACATGAAAATAAGTCTTTATTAATGGATCATCTTTCTGTAATCATAATTTGTGTAAAAAAGAATAACATTTGTTGACATTTTACTGCCACTGTGTTCATTTTGGCTGGAAACTGCAGTGGATTGTATTTATAGGTACTTTGCGAAAACGCAGAGGCACGATGAGCCTATGTTGCAGCTAATTTACTGTGCATATGTCTACACACATCCTGTGCAAAATTTAACTCAAAACATGTTAATTAAATTTTCCTTCATACATGGGAAATAAAATTGTGACTTAATTCAGCTAAGTAGGCTTATGGAGAGGCCTGACCAGAGCATCAGCCCTGTAATCCCTTGAGTTTCTGTTGGTATCGGCCTGTTGAGGCCTGCAAAGAAAGTGACTGACTGACACAAAGAGAGTAAAAGAAAGAATGAGGGGTTTTTAACTCCTTGACAGGAGATTATAAAAAAATACTATGATAAATTAATAACAGGGAGGAGTGAAAGGTCAAGCAAGGAGAAACTAGAACAGACAGCAGTTGTTTATTGCAGAAAGTCAGAGCGAATAAAGGTGTATGTGTTGCAAGAGGGGGTGGGGGAGGGAAGATATGAATCTTAGGGGACTGGTTAGTTGAGTGTGTTGAAGGTGTGGGACAGCTAGGGAACAGGGTTAAACACTCGGGGCCAACATGTGTCAACATTTGTCACCAGAATCACACATCCACTGAGCTGCTGCTATGCGTGGTATTCTCTACAAGGGTTTACAATATTTTCCCTTACCTCACCTTTCAGCTCATTCTACCTTTTGTATACCAAACCAAAGAAAACAATAACTGCCATAACTGCTTTTTTTCTAACTGTGGTAATAACTACTAAATAACTGCACAGCTGGAGCCAATGAGGGCACATAAAACCAAAAATAAGCTTTGTGCATGTTGTGGCAAGACTTGAGAAATTCCAGTGCACTAACTTATTGTGACTTGTTACCACCACAATGACTAATTTTTTATTTTTATTTTTAATGTATTTATTTTTTGCCAGTGTCTTTGGTTAAATACATGTATAATCATTTATACAGACAATCATTAAATACATATGATCATTTAATCAATTTGTGAAAGTAATAGATTATTTCTAAAATAATTCCATAGTGTTAAAATGATGTGAAGGATTAGGTCAATCCGGTCTAAGCAGTTTAAGGTTTACACAAGTTCATAGGTGTGGAGTCTAAATTCCCTTACAACTGCAACCCTTATAGGGCAGTGTTTGCTAAAGGGGGAGGAGACGCTGTCATACATGCGGTTATTACTATTACTGCTCTCCATTTGGCAATGTTACACCTGTATATTTAGCAATATTGTCCGATATGCATCTTTGGCTTATTTATATAGGAAATGCTAGGAAATGCTGGAGTTGCAGATATCACATTTGCTTTAAGACAATCGTCAATATTAATCTGTGCAAAATAATTTGATTAAAGCATGAGATGCAAGCTTGAGAGCAAGCAATTGATTGAGTGTTCTTGAGACAATTTAAACCAATATTTTCTTTTTGTTGCATTATAAATGTTCCTATCATTTGAATTACGGTCTCTTTGATTTATAATTTTTTTTCTGCTCATTCTGTGTAACATTTTTATCTGGTGCTGTATTAGCCAAGTCTCTCTAAAATAAAGTTTCAAAAAATGCTGAAAATTAAAAAATTTTAGTTTTAAGTTAAACTTTTCTTTTCTGTGCACAACCCTCTTGTTGTCTCAGAATGGAAGTGCAATCAAGGATCACATTCAAACAGGCAACTTCGAAGTAAAATGCAGAACAGCAGAAATGTGAAAGCTCAAAGAAAGTTGCTTTGTTATAATGCATCAATTTTCTTTTTTTCTCTCTTTTTTTTCTATAAACAAGTCAGGGGTGCAATCCTGACCTCTTCATTTCTATTCTGCATTTTTACTGACTGTCAAACAGCCCCTTTTTGCAACACGGACGTAAGCTATTTTCTGTGAATGTACAAGACTTCCAATTCATTAGCCGCTACAGGTAAAAGTGTAAGCATTATAAATGGTCAAACTATTTGTGATACAAACCAGTGTCTTTATGATTATAGCAATGAGTGAAAACAACTAAATAACAAAATACCAATTTGGAATTTAAAGCAGCATAAGAAACTGTTTTTGTACATGTAAAATAACTGGAAGCGAATGTTACTGGAAGCTTTGTACAAAGTTACAAATGGCTGCACTCTTACATTAAAAATGGTAGATAAATAACATTGTATCCAGATCAATTTTCTACATATTGGAACTAAGTGTCTATTACTGTTGCACCAGTGTTTAGCCTCCTAATGTCTTAAAATGCAATGTCAAAAACTGATGGGTTGCTGCATTCACTGTTTTTTGAATATAGGCCTCAATAGAAATCAGAAAAGCACACAAAAGTTGTTTCTTGTACTTTCTGACTGTGCTCACAGTGACAGACATTTTTAGCTATAAGGAACAAAATTCTGTAGGAAAGATTATAGGAGTTTGTTGTTGGGCTGTAGAAATATACTACATATTTAATACAATGAATTGTAATTTAATTTAATCTGCCACAACTCTGCAACAGATACTAAACTAGACATGCTCATGGAGCCCAGGGGAGGGGGTGGAGGCCAACCTATAAAAATCTGATCCTGGGCCCTGTGCATAACACAATCCATCTGCTCTTCTGTCATTCAAAAACATCCTCCTCTTGTTTGTCTGCAGACTTATCCATCACTTGCACACTTCCCTCTGTAGCTACGAGTTTCTTCCCTGTCTCACTGGTGATGATGGTGGTCTTTGTGCTTTTGGTGATGGTGGCAGTGCTGCTGCTAGTGCTGACCTCCTTTGCAGTCACAGCTTTCTGCTTAACCAGGCCTGTTTTCTGAACATCTTTCCCAGAACTCTGTGATGAGACACTTACAAGGTGGCTGCTTTCAAGATCGTAGTTCAAGGCTAAGAAAAAGGATATCAGAACACTGTCACAAAAGCTGCACCTTACATATACGCATAGCTGGTGTAAAATATTTAAAAATCATATCTAAAAAGAGATGCTTTATGTGAATAAAGTAACTCACAGTGTGGTTTAGAGATGGAGAGAGTCTGGAATGAACCATACAGTCTGTGAAAGAACACAGAATAAGTACATGACAGCCCTAGGAATCCATTGTGTTTCCCTCTTCTTAAAGTGTTATAGTTTCAACAAGCACTAAAGCTGCACCCACCTGCTCTCTTCTCCTTCCAGGAGTTTCCTATAGGTGGCGATCTCAATGTCCAGAGCCAGTTTGATGTTCATTAATGACTGATACTCGCGCACCTGACGAGCCATATCATGTTTAGCTCTCAGAAGAGCTGCTTCCAGCTCCTGCAGACGCAGTTTTGCATCTTTCACAGCTAGTTCACCTCGTTCTTCTGCCTCTTTGATCTGCACCTCGTGGTTTGAATGCTAAAATGAAAGGAGACAAAAGATTTCATCCTTCCCACACTTATAATTTAAGATCAACTGGGATTAATTGAGATCATCTCAGATCAACTCACATATAATACACTTTACCTAGATTTACTGAAAGAAGGCTTGCTTTGTTCTTGTCAAATGTCACCAAAAATAATCATGCTTTAAGTATGCTGTGCATTGTTCACTGACATTTTTACACAGTATTCTTTTTTGTTTTTGACAGTTGACTCTGAATAGTCAAATTAAGTCACCTTTATCTATATAGCACTTTATACTGTACAATAAATTGTTTAAAAGCAGCTTTACAGTAATAAAAAGGAAAATAACAGAATCAGTGATGCAGACTTCAAATATGAGACAAATTCAAATTCTGCTGTAAAGCAACTTTAAAAAGACAACAGTGTCATTATTCTGCTCAAGTCAGTTCAGTGTTGATCAGTTCAGTTCAATAACCGTTCATTAAAGTTCATTAATTATGAGAAATGAGTTCAATTCAGTTATAAAGCAGCTCCACAAAAAACAATAGTGTGAAATAGAGTTCTTACCTGTCCCTTAACAAGTTCCATCTCAGAGTGTATACGTGCAATTCTTCGATTGTACTCGGCGATATTAGCCTTCGCGTTTTTCAGGTCATCCCCATGTTTGTTGACCATCAGCTGCATTTCTTCATACTAACATTATACAGCACACATGAACATTCACATACAGACACATACACATACACATAAACTCATATTTACAATTCATTTGAGCATCTTTAGAAAAGCTCAAATATTGCAATGCAAGAAAATAATCATGTTTAAAAATTTATGATTTGTGACATGCACACACACACACAATGCAAGAAAGTTAAGTGACCTTCTGTTTGTACCAGCTCTCTGCTTCAGCACGGTTGCGGTTGGCAATCTCCTCATACTGAGCACGAACTTCAGCCACAATGGTGTCCATGTCCAGATTTCTGCTGTTGTCCATCTCTACAACAACTGATGTGTCCTTGATCTGAGTCTTGAGTTCACGGAGTTCCTGTACACATGGAACAAAAATTACAGAGACCTGTCATTCAGAATCCTGTTCATGCCTCCATTCACCACTGTTTTTTAAGTTTTTTTATGCTTACACACCATAAGAGTTATAAGTTCTTAAGACTTATGTTTAACTATCAGTTAACCCAATAAATTCTATCTGTAACGTGTATTACATGACTGTACGAAAATATTTACTGATACTCGCGCACCTGACGAGCCATATCATGTTTAGCTCTCAGAAGAGCTGCTTCCAGCTCCTGCAGACGCAGTTTTGCATCTTTCACAGCTAGTTCACCTCGTTCTTCTGCCTCTTTGATCTGCACCTCGTGGTTTGAATGCTAAAATGAAAGGAGACAAAAGATTTCATCCTTCCCACACTTATAATTTAAGATCAACTGGGATTAATTGAGATCATCTCAGATCAACTCACATATAATACACTTTACCTAGATTTACTGAAAGAAGGCTTGCTTTGTTCTTGTCAAATGTCACCAAAAATAATCATGCTTTAAGTATGCTGTGCATTGTTCACTGACATTTTTACACAGTATTCTTTTTTGTTTTTGACAGTTGACTCTGAATAGTCAAATTAAGTCACCTTTATCTATATAGCACTTTATACTGTACAATAAATTGTTTAAAAGCAGCTTTACAGTAATAAAAAGGAAAATAACAGAATCAGTGATGCAGACTTCAAATATGAGACAAATTCAAATTCTGCTGTAAAGCAACTTTAAAAAGACAACAGTGTCATTATTCTGCTCAAGTCAGTTCAGTGTTGATCAGTTCAGTTCAATAACCGTTCATTAAAGTTCATTAATTATGAGAAATGAGTTCAATTCAGTTATAAAGCAGCTCCACAAAAAACAATAGTGTGAAATAGAGTTCTTACCTGTCCCTTAACAAGTTCCATCTCAGAGTGTATACGTGCAATTCTTCGATTGTACTCGGCGATATTAGCCTTCGCGTTTTTCAGGTCATCCCCATGTTTGTTGACCATCAGCTGCATTTCTTCATACTAACATTATACAGCACACATGAACATTCACATACAGACACATACACATACACATAAACTCATATTTACAATTCATTTGAGCATCTTTAGAAAAGCTCAAATATTGCAATGCAAGAAAATAATCATGTTTAAAAATGTATGATTTGTGACATGCACACACACACACAATGCAAGAAAGTTAAGTGACCTTCTGTTTGTACCAGCTCTCTGCTTCAGCACGGTTGCGGTTTGCAATCTCCTCATACTGAGCACGAACTTCAGCCACAATGGTGTCCATGTCCAGATTTCTGCTGTTGTCCATCTCTACAACAACTGATGTGTCCTTGATCTGAGTCTGGAGTTCACGGAGTTCCTGTACACATGGAACAAAAATTACAGAGACCTGTCATTCAGAATCCTGTTCATGCCTCCATTCACCACTGTTTTTTAAGTTTTTTTATGCTTACACACCATAAGAGTTATAAGTTCTTAAGACTTATGTTTTACTATCAGTTAACCCAATAAATTCTAAAAAAAAAAAGTATGTATAAAGGAGTGGCCGTTGCACCTGATAGTAAACTGATATTGCCTAAAAGCAACAAAGGTGTGTTTATGACAGAGAGTGGACATTGTCCCTTCAGGTTAGTCAGTCAAGTGGGGGTCTTGATAAAATATGACACTGATAAAACTGGGCCTGCTGTTATCACAATCACTCCCACCAGCATACGAACCACACTCACAGGTCCAAACACAATACATTTGATTAGATGTGAAAACATAAAGGGTCTACACAAAAGTTTCAAATGAAGACAAGATGAAGAAGGAGATAACATACTTTGTCAATGAATGAAGCAAAGCGGTTGTTGAGTGTCTTGATTTCCTCTTTCTCCTGAGTCCTGATGGCCTGGATGTTCGGGTCAATCTCCAAGTTCAGAGGTGCCAGAAGACTTTCATTTACCTGTACAGCTGTAATTGGAGGGCATATGACTGGACTGGAGCCCCAACCTTCTCTTGAAACCATCCCTGAATGGGTGAGGGGGGTCCGCCTGTTGCTGCTCACACTTACAGAGGAGTGACTGCTGAAAGACTTCACTGTTTTCTTGGTGTTCATCATTGCTGGAAACACAGCCGTCAGAAATGAGAGAAGACAAAGAGTTGAGGGGTTGGAAACTCAAAAGTGGTGGGGTGACAGACGTTCCCTCAAACTCTTATATCGAGTGCAGGGAGTGGCTCAAGGCCAGCTTATTGGTCAAGAAACAATTTTCAAGATATGTACGCAGAGTTATGGGGTTGAACGTCGAGAGGACGTATAATCATACTGTTATACATTAACAGCTTCACTTCAAACCCTGAGCAAAGGGGAAATTCTTATAATACTCCAAGTCTACAGTACATAATTACTTTTATGTTCAAATCTGAACAACATGAAGCAAATCTAGTTTTAATTTAGATCCTTAATTGACATGAGTGCACTGCAGCAGCAGATCCAGGCTCAGCAAATCAGAGAAAACTAATTAAAGACCAGCCAAAATATTAAGAATCATTATAATCCCACAAAAGTGTGCATAACCACTGTATGAGTGTTCATGTATATTCTGCAACTTCTATAGTTCTATAGCCACCCATTAATTAACTGTTGACTTGAGCCGGTCCCCAAAACTACAGTAAATGCAAAAACAATTACCCTTTAAACTCATTACATTTGATTTCCGCTTGTAGCCTCCTCCATACAGACACTTCATTGGTTGATCATATATTGTAATTTCTGGAGGCAAAAGGTATTGTGGGCTGATCTGACCAACTTGAACATTGTCATTGAACATTGTTAAATTACAGATTTGTAATTTAATTCATTTAAATTTAGTATTACAGAATGACATTTACATTCCTAATAACATTGTATGAATATGTCCTTTTGAACCTACAGAAAGTCGTGGCCTAATTAGAGAGTGTAACTTATCATCCAATGATTGTGGGTTCGAGTCTCAGGTCTGGCAGGAATTGTCAGTGGGGGGAGTGAATAACCAGTGCTCTCTTCCACCTTCAATACCATGACTGAGATGAGACCCTTGAGCAAACCTCCAACTGCTCCCCGGACGCTGCAGCACATGGCTGCCCACTGCTCAGGGTGTGTGTGTGTTCAATACTGTGTGTGTGTACTTGAATGAGTTAAATATCTAAATCTAGATTAAAGACACATCTCTTTGGCCAAGCATTCAAATAATGCATCTCATAATCTTGTACTGCAGTTATATCTGATCAAATGCACATTATTATTCTTTAGTTTGGGTTAAACAAATAAATGTTGCTTGGTTGGAACAACAGCTACGCTAATTATGTCTATTTGTTTCTCTTTTTTTTCCACAGGGTAACTAGGATTTACACAAGCTTCAGTCTGGATCCAGAACACCTGAGAAGAGATGATGCAAAACCCCTCAGAGGACCTCAGATGATGCCAACTCTGAAACAACATACAGAACTACCACATTTTGCTATAAGTTTGATTGCATCGTATAATAATTGCTGTTAATAGTGTTCCTCGTCTGTTTGATTACGTCTTTAATTGATTTTTCCATACATTTCTGCCATATATACATTAACTGACAATCACCACTGATAAGCTACCACTAAATATTGTAGAAACTTAATTTGCTGTAAAGTTGCTTTGCAACGATTTGTATCGTGAAAAGTTCTATACAAATAAACATGAATTGAATTAAATGCAGAGCACAAATTCCAAATATGGGTCACCATATGTCACTTCACTTTCAAAATTCATTTAGATCAGTTTTACCCCCTGGGTAACAGCACCTTTAAATTAAATTTGGCAGCTTTCCCAAGTTATGACAAACACATTTAAGGCAACATTTGTTATTTAGATTCATTATTTACGTGTGTCATATTCATGCCAAGAGTGGTTTATAGGTGACAGATTTGTGTACTTCTGTCATAAAAACGTCCTGCATCTTTTGTTCCCCTTTTTCACTGTGTACAAATTTCAGTTCTCCTATGCTAACAAAAATGAATGCAGACTAAAGACAGTTGATTAGAGTGTTGTTTTTTTACATTTATTTATTTTTAACTGTCTTTTCTTTTGCAGAGGTAAGACTGACAGCATTGGTACAGTGACTGCAAGTGGCTTGTCATGACATAAGAAAACTATTTAAATTGGGCACTTGCATTGTAGACAGACAGACGTGGTGCTCGTTTGTAGTGAAGATTAGATATAAAAGTGCAATGACTGTTACTTCAGTTATTTTAGTGAATTCTCTTCTCTGGTCAGACAGACGCTGAAAAAGAATTCAAGCTGAACTTAACAAACATCCTTTGTTCACGTTTACATACAGTATGTGATAAGACATTACAGTCTAGAGTAGACATACAATAAACAAAATGGGAAAGAAATATTGCAATTTAACAGTTGCAAGTTACTGACAGTATTGCAATTACAAAGCATAATTTTTTACAAAACTGAAAAAAGAAAAAAATCACAGCATAAATTTTAAATATGTTTGAGGTGGAAGACTGAATTTAAAACAGATTTTGGATTTAAATACAGAGGAGCCGGATCCAGCTTGTCCTGTTACTAATCTTCCAGCAAGGACTAACCGTTTGTTGAGTTAAACTTACAAACTATGGGCTTGTGTATTAACCTACACTCTTAAAAATAAAGGTGCTTCACGATGCCATAGAAAAACCTTTTCATCTAAATGGTTGCATAAAGAACCTTTAACATCTGAAGAACCTTTCTGTTTCACAAAAGGTTCTTTGTGGCGAAAGAAGGTTCTTCAGATTATAAAAACGCAAGAAAGAGATGGTTCTTTAAAGAACCTTTGACTGAATGGTTCTTTGTGGAACCAAAAATGGTTCTTCTATGGCATCGCTGTGAAGAACCTTTTGAAGCACCTTTATTTTTAAGAGTGTACCAAAATCCTCAAATCGCCATTATTGCTTAATATAGCATAACAAGTGAACAAAGCATGATCCCCCTAGTCCTTGCTAGTAGATGCCATATCTACACCATCTTGGTCTATTAATGCCCACTTAAAAGTAGCTGTGTATTTTGTAATAAATAAATAATTAATAAATAAAACTGCAGGGCCACAACAATCTGTAAGGAAACCTGTTCTCTCAGAATAAAGGTACAAAGCTGTCACTGCGTGGTATCCTAAGGTTCAAAAGCGTCTTTGTAATATTAAGCATCACAACTGTTTTCAACAAATTCTCTCCCTGGAGTTAAAGATTAAACAAGATAACTCAAAAATCAATAAACAAAGTACAACACAACTGCATATGTTCTCTGGAAGGTGTCACGCTAAAGGAGTAAATGTCTAACGTGTCAGACCGTTATAGTCACCTCTCAAAAAACAGACACATAGCCAGTTAAACTAATAAATGAATAAATCATAACAAGGACAAATCACCACCTTGGAATTATAAGGTTCTTTGCATTCCAAAGTTTTTGCATTCCATTCTTTGTAGATATAACCTTTTTGTTTTCTAAATGTGCACAACTTACAAAAAAAACAAAAAACAAAAAACAGAAAAGTCTGTGACAGAATAAGAATATGTTAATAACTCAATTTTGACAAAAATGTCAGACAGAACCTTATAATTCAAAGGTGACAAAATGGGAGGAGTCAGAAGAGGGCTTGATTATTGATAAGTACAATGATTTATCAATAATATATTAATTATTGATTAATAAAATAATTATATTAAGAATAGTTAGTAAGTTTATTCTACTCTAAATAAATAAATAAATAAAAGGGGAGTGTAAAATTAAATAAAAAGGGAAAATTGACAAGAAACCCACAATTATTAGAAGGCTTTCTTCCATTTCATATTCATTCTGATCAGTGACTCCTGGAATGCGCGCCACTCACTTTCATTGGAGTTAGTGTGTAGTGTAACATGACCACAAACAAGCCAAAAACCAGCAGCTGGTGACCTGATATTAAAAGGCTTGAGGCATAATTTTTGAAGAGTAGAATTCTTGGAATTCAACACACTGTGTGCACACTGCCTGTATTCCAAGGTTAGTTTCGTCAACGAAAACTAAGACGAAAACGACTGATCAAAAATAATTTTCGTAAACTGAAATAAAATAAAAATGTCTAAATAAATGAAAAACTAAAACGAAACAAAACTAACAACAGTTATTGAAAAAGTAACTGAAATACAATAATAATGATAATCAAAAATAAATAATCGTTTTCGTAATCATTACGTTCTCACCCCATGGCAGAAAAATATATGAGCTGTGGCTGTTTAGGGAAATATCTGTAAATGGCGCATCGCATACTAATTTTTTTCATGAATATGACAACCTGATGGAGGACGCGCTCAGTCATTCAGGAAGCGCCCCAGCTTCCAATGATCCAATCAATTCCCGAAGGACGAAATCAAGTCCCGCCCTCTCATTTCAGATGCCATTTCACTCGGATATACTTCACAGTAGAGAAGAAAAGACAATCGCAACTTCTGTTTCATGCCGACTTTAAAGTAGAGTCCTGCACGAGTCCTGTTTGGTAAACCCCCACACACAGTATACTTAACAGAACACCCGACCATGCAGTTATCGGACAGCAGCACTAATTTAATTCTGTACCCGACCCATTTGACATAAAGACCGCGACCCGAATCGTACCCGTATTAAATCTACTACATCAGGTATAGGCAAATTATTTATTTTCTCATGTACCACAAGAAATCAAACCAACATTAGGCATTCTAAGTTGGTGCTTTGAAGAAAAATAGACAAGCAGCGCAACACGATAATTAACAGAAAAAAAAGATGAGAACGCGCATCCTTTCTACAAACAATACAAAACTTTTGCCTACATCTTGTGAACAATAATATGCCAGGCTATTTTGAACAAATGTGCATGAACAGCTTCATACGCTTATAATTCTTTATAAATTAAAGGAACATATTCAGATATGAGCTTTTACTGTTAAATGCGGTTGTCTCTCCTTAAAGTCTGCAGTGTGGTCGTTGGTCCTTCATAGGAGCTTTAAAAATTAAATTATATAATAGGCTACAGAACACTACAGAAAACGAGCAAAGAGCACTCCCTAAGCTGTCATTCACTTCAGCTGTAGCACGAATGG